GGAAATTGATTGCTCAACAGTGAATATACTTAATACTGCTGAACTGTACATTTAAAAATGATTAGGATAGGAAACTTATGTGGTTTTTGTAAACTTAATATTGACAAATAAGAGAAGGGAATGACAGAGGATGAGATGGTTGGATGGCATTACCGATACCAAGGACATGAGTTTGAGCAAGCTCCGGGAGAATAGTGAAGGACAGGGGAGCCTAGAGTGCTGCAATGCATGGGGTTGCAAAGAATTGGCCACAACTTAGCAGCTGAACAATAATAGACAAATAGTAAGTTTGAAAAAAATGGTTGCAGTATAGAAGACAGGATTCCTTTTACAAGAGCTTATCAGCCCAACTGTAAGAAGGGCAAAAGATTTAAAGAACCATTAAAGAAAATTAATAAATCTAGAAGGCTATACAATTCATGAAAAGACACTCAGTCTCGTCTCACAGGTTGTCAAGGTAATGCAAATTAAAGAATCTCATGCTCCACTGACTGAGCTTGCTAGTCAAGTCTGGGCAATGCAAATGAAATACTAGTGAAATATAACAACACACTCATCAAATGACAAAAGTTTAAAAAAAGAAACAGTAAAATCTGTTGCTAGTAGAGAAAATGGTGTTGCTGTGCAGAAAATAGTATTCCTTTATGAGTGGAAATATGAGTTGTTATCGCATTTTTGGAAAGTAATCTTGCAAACTTTTTATAAACTGGCCCATGTAATACAAATACAAATATAATGACACACCCATTACATTTACATGGATTTTTAAATGACAGAATATGGAAACAAGGGAAATATCTATAATTAGAAGATTGATTGAGTGCATGTATCTATCTGTGAATGCATTTCACATATATCCATGAAAATTTTGACTTGAGATTTTTAAAAATATTATTGAAGAAAATAAAACATTACCAATATTGTTGATATTATGTGTCTCTGTATCTGTATTTGTATATGATTTATATGGAAATATATTGAAGCATACATACAGGTTTTATCATGCAAATCTGCTGGTGATAAATTCCTTCAGCTTTTGTATGACTAAAGATGTTTTTATTTTGCCTTTGTTTTCGAAAGATGTTTTCCTATGTATGAAATTCTTGGTTGATGGTGTTCTTTCAGTAAGCTCTAAAGATGTTGCTCCTCTGCCTTCTGGCTTACATGTTTCTAGTTTACATTATGGATCTTTTGGGGTTGCTTTTAAGATGTCCTTTCTGTTAACATGTTTTAAGCTACTTGTTTTTGATATGCCCTGGTATTATTTGTTCTTATGTCTTGTGTTGCTTCAATTTGGAGGTTTTTAGTTTTCATCAAATTTGGACTTTGCCACCTGAGTGATGCTCTTGTTTAATTTTCTCAATCTTTATATTTCGATGGCAACCCACTCCAGTATTCTTGCATGGAGAGTCCCATGATGGAGGAGCCTGGTAGGCTACAGTCCACAGGGTTGCAGAGAGTCAGACACGACTGAGCGACTTCACTTTCACTTTACTGGGTCTTCACGTTCATTTTTTTTTTGCCTTGTCTTGTCTGCTCTTAATCTCATCCATTATATTTTTTCACATTGATTTTTTTTTTTTAACATTTAGAATTTTGATTTTGGTCTTTTTTTTCTTTTTTCCCCCTTCCAGTCTTTCATGTCTCTTATCATTTGTATCCTTGATTCTGTCTGTCTTATTTCTGGATCTCATTTTTTTTTCCCTCCCCACTGAGGGTTAGATTTTCCTTCTTTCTGTATCTTAATAGTTTTGTCGGATGCCAGACATTTTGATTTTTACCTTGTTAGGCGCTGGTTTTGTTCACTCCTTTAAATGTTCTTCATTTTTGTTCTGGGACACAGTTAATTCTCTTGGAGCAGTTTGACCCGGTAATGCTTGCTTTTGAGTTTTTTGAAGGCAGAACCAAAGTAGTGTTTCCTCTAGGGATAATTTTTCCCTTACAAAGGCAGTGCCCTTCTGAGTTCTGTTACCTTATTCCCTCTGTATTGTGAAATCTTTCACCTCTGGCTGTGGACACACAGACAGACCTGTGCTGGCTTTGAGAACTGTCCTGTCTACCCCTTTCCTGTAGTTGTTTCCGCTCCTTGAGGTAGCTTAGTCATAGGCATGTGCTTATCAGCACTTGGCTCTAAGCACAACGGTCGCCCTTTAGGCACCTCCAGAGTTGGCTTACTTTTCTTTTCAGTTCTTTACTTCTCTCACCTTGCGTGCTTGCTCAGCCGCTTCAGTCACGTCTGACTCTTTGTTAGCCCATGGGCTGTAACCTGCCAGGCTTCTTTGTCCATGGGATTATGCCAGCAAGAATACTGGAGTGGGTTGCCATTCCCTTTTCCAAAGGATCTTCCTGCCCCAGGGATTGAACCCAGGTCTCCTGAGGCTCCTGCATTGGCAGGTAGATTATTATTATTATTATTTTAATTGAAGGATCATTGTTTCAGAGAGTTTTGTTGTTTTCTGTCAAACCTCAACCTGAATCAGCCATAGGTATGCATATATCCCTCCCTTTTGAACCTCCCTCCCGTCTCCCTCCCCACCCCGCCCCTCTCGGTTGATACAGAGCCCCTGTTTGAGTTTCCTGAGCCATACAGCAAATTCCCGTTGGCTATCTATTTTACATATGATAATGTAAGTGTCCATGTTACTCTTTCCACACCTCTCACCCTCTGCTCCCCTCTCCCCGTGTCCATGAGTCTATTCTGTGTCTCTTTCTCCATTGCTGCCTTGCAAGTACATTCTTGAGTACCATTTTCCTAGATACCATATATATGTGTTAGAATATGATATTTATCTTTCCCTTTCTGACTTACTTCACTCTGTATAACAGATTCTAGGTTCATTCACCTCATTAGAACTGACTCAAGGGTGTTCCTTTTTATGGCTGAGTAATATTCCTTTGTGTATATGTACCACAACTTCTTTATCCGTTCATCTGTTGATGGACATCTAGGGTTGCTTCCATGTTTTATTGTAAATATGGCAGGCAGATTCTTTACAACAGAGCCACCCGAGAAGCCCATTACTCACCTTATGTATATGTGTGTTAGTTAATCAGTTGTGTCCGACTCTTTGCGATCCCATGGACTGTAGCCTGCCAGGCTTCTCTCTCCATGGGATTCTCCAGGTAAGAATACTGGAGTAGGTTTCCAGTTCCCTCGCTAATTACTCACCTTGGCCTCCCTGAATTTCCAGCTTTGTCTCTTCAGCTCAGAAAGATCACCACAGTCTGTTTGGGTTTTCTTCTGCTTGTACTGTAGGCTAGAAATTCTCTCCAGGCAGTCAATTGGGGCAGTCGCCTTGTTTTTATCTTCTAATGGATGGATCAGTGTCCTGCAATGCCTGTTGTCCAGTGTGTCTGAAAAACCATTATTTTATATATTTTAAAATTTGATTTCTTATTTAAAATAGGGTAAATCTAGTGCTTATTACTCCATTATGGTTGAAAATGGGAGTAATTGGATAAGAGGGAAAAGATATTCACCCTCACAAGGAAGTGACAGGTGGGTGGGAAACCCTCCCCCATACATAAATTAAAAATGGAAAATATTAGCAATTATTTTAATTTAGTTTTGGGATTTTTTTGGCTGTACCATATAGCAGCTGAGATCTTAGTTCCCCAACCAGGGATCCAGAACCATGCTCCCTGCCTTAGGAGCTTAGAGTTCTATCCACGTGACTGCCAGGCAAGTCCCAGCAATTATTTCATGTTATGAAAGCAAGGAGCATGGCTTATTTGATATTATGTAGTAATGTGATATTTAGAAATCATGACTTAGTCAGCATTAACTTCAGAGTGATTCCTGTTGTATTTTGTAGGTTGTAGTGTAATATTGGACTTATTAAAATGATTTGATTTGATAGAACCTTTTTAATGTATTTTCTAACGTGTTAATATTTCAGCACATTTGTGTTTTAAAATAAATGTATACAATTATAAATGTGCTGATATTAACATATTAGTAAATATATTAAACAAAAAGGTTCTATCAAATCAAATTTATAACTGTTTAAGGGCTTCCCTGGTAGCTCAGATGATCCGCCTGCCAGACAGGAGACGTGGGTTTGATCCCTGGGTCAGAAAGATCCCCTGGATAAGGGAAAGGCTACCCACTCCAGTATTCTGGCCTGGAGAATTCCATGGACCATGTAGTCCACTGGGTCACAAAGGGTCAGACACAACTGAGCAGCTTTCACTTTCGCTTTCAGGCTCTAAGTCTGGTCAAAGTCTCAACCTGGGATAACTTTGTTGCCTAGAGAATATAATTTTACACTGTGTAGTGACCTTGGTGATTGAAGCTCAGGGTGGTAGTGTGGGTGTTCTGGCAACTAGTGGGTAGAAGAAGGAATGTTGCTAAGTTATCTTGCAATGTACAGGACTCCCCCAGCTACAGAGAATTATCTGGCCTAAAGTGTAACTGGTGTAGGGTGGGGAAACTGATACAAAGTGACTATCCAGGTATATTGCTAGAGTACCAAGCTGTTTTATTTATATCATCAGTGGGGTCTGTTGCTAGTGTGAAAATGGTTTCCATCTGAATTCTTTTTCTTTTCAATTCCAGTTCTAGCCTAAGGGTTAATCTTTTTAAAAGAAAAATAGGGGATGTAAATACTTAAATTAAATAACCTGATGTTTTTTCCCTTTCATCTACCTCAAAAAGTGAACTTGGAGAAGGAGGAAAGACAGCAAGAGTAGTGGAGAAACAAGCTTACATTGCTTCACAGGTGTCAATTTTAATAAAATGATTATTTATTAGTAGAGAAATTTCCAGTGTTGAAGTTGTGAAAATAACCTCCATTTATTTGAAAATGTACAGTTTTGTAGGACACTACAAAATTCAGTTGTGAAATTCAATTGTGAGAATAGGTTCAGTGTATTTGAAAATATTTACCTTTGTAGGGCAAACTTATAAACATGTATGCTTCTTATTTTACCTTTTATTTTAATAATTTTTCATATAATAGCACTTTTAAAATTAACTTTTCTGGTCAATTTTTCTGTAGGTGTTACCTCATTTGGAAAGCCTTGAGAAACAGGAGAACATTTCTAACAAAATGTCATCTTTTCGAAGTCATTGTCCACATTTGGATTCAGTTGGTGAAATAACTAAAGAAGATTTAATACAAAAATCTCACGTAAGATAGAAGGCTTTTTTCCCTTTCTTTAAAAAACCATATTAATTTTTCTCTCAAACAAACATGTGAGTTTCTTTTTTTTTTATAAATTACTACAATTATCCTGTGTTCATGAATCCAAATTTTTTTGTATGATTTTAGTGAATGTATGTGTTTGGCTGTGTTAATGGAATGGTGATGTTATCTCTGCGATCTTCTTCTCACAGGGTTCTTGTCAGGATTGTAAAGTCAGAGGACCAAACCTTTGGGCATGCCTGGAGGTATGTGTGTGTTTCTTCTCAAAAGTTTGATATTATAAACTTATATCTGAATAAGGTGAACTATAAGATTTTTTTGACACAGGATTTCATAAATGAACATACTTTAAAAAGATTGTTATTGATAATAAAAATTAAACTTTAAACTTTGGATATTAACTTACAGTGCTTTTTGCAGAGTTTAGTAAATCACTACAATATTTTACACTTACTTTTTATTAGAGGTGACATATCTTTCAGCTTAAAAGTATTCTGATTGTATTCTTTTGTGCCTGGTACCTTTTGGTTAAAATAGCTAACTTTGGAAGTCATTTAATCTGAAAGTTAAAATGTGATCAGAACTTCATTGTAAATGTAATGCTTATTATTATAAATTTATGTTATAAAATGCCTTATTTTTATTTTTATATATTTATAGAATAGGTGTTCATATGTTGGCTGTGGTGAATCACAAGTGGATCATAGCACCATACATTCTCAGGTATGTATATAGAAAAATTTCATGCCAGGCATTTTTTAAATATAGCCTGAGGAAAAAGGAAAACAAATACAACATCATTAATTCAAGTTCTCATTCAAAATTTTGTCCTTTTATTATTATTTTTTTTTTTTTTTAATAAACAATGAGTTAAATCTTAGCTTATAAAAAGGTGGGGATGGGAATTGCTGGAAAGGTCAATATTAGAATGAGGTGGTAATTAAAAGAGCAGTGATTTAAGAAATGTACCTCCAGGTGTATGGAGGTGATCGCTGGAAATATTAGGGCCTGACTGACTTCAAGGCTCAACTCATATTACCTTTTGCTCTACATCTTCCTTACTGGAGTCTCCTTTCTACATCACCTTGGTGGTTTGGTGCTTGTGTGTAATTCTGGCATGCTTCTTTTACAGATTAGATAGAGCTCCCATTCCAAAACATACATTTCTTGAGAATGAACCATCTTTTTCATTTATATTTATCTCTATAGCATCAACTGTTCTTGGCAGGGTTCCTCAAGAGAATTACTTAAGACTCTCAGGCATCTTCATACATAGTTAATTTACTTCTCTTTGGTGCATCTAGATTGGTGGTGCCAGTGCCATTCTTGGGAGAATTGAGAAAATGGTTACACAAATCATTTTCTGTAGGGCATTATTGTCTTGCAGAACTCGAGATGAGAAAGGCGAGAATTTCACATATCCAAGATCATATATTCATTATTGCTTGAGCTCTTTTGTGCTTTAATTCATGTCATTTGTATTCTTTTGCCATTCTGATGTTCTTGAACACTTACTGTGCTATTGTCAATTTTCTTGTATTATAATTACTTGCTAACTGCAAAGCAGACTCTCATAATAACTCTTTGTTTATCTTTATAATGAATAGTGGTGAAAATAATAGAATAACTTGTAGTAGGCTTGGATATTGTTACTGTTAGCTGTGCTTTAGCAGTAGCAGTTTAAGTAATGTTTATTTGGTGCTCTGGTTTAAATCTTCTCTTTTGAATATATTGTTATTCATTAAAGGCCAGCAGTTTATCTTCTATGATCTTTTGAAAGGCTTTCAACTATAACTAATTTTGATTCCTCTTCTCTCTCTCTCATGAAATTATTCAGGAGACAAAGCATTATCTAACTGTGAACCTTACCACCCTTCGAGTATGGTGTTATGCTTGCAGCAAAGAAGTATTTTTGGATAGGAAATTAGGAACTCAGCCTTCATTACCTCATGTAAAACCACTTCACCAAATACAAGAAAATGGCGTACAGGTAATAATTTAAATCCATGGAATTAAAATATTAAATACTTTAAGAAAATAATTTCAAAATTTGTCATGTAGCTGAAATTTTAAAGAACCCTACCTCACCTTTACTTTACCAGGTTTCCATAATGTGCCTTTTTTCCTCAAATGAGACACAGAATCTGGCCTTTTTTCTTTTGTAGAATGATAGATTACAGTAAAATTGAATCTCACACGTGTCTAAAGATGGAAAAGCACCTTATAGGTTTTAAAAACTCAAGCAGCTGGCTCTAGGAGAGGTGATGGGCCTTCTTTAATAGGCCCTAATTCAACTACCTTTTCATCATTTCCCTACCTGCTTCACTCCCATGTCTATTATTGTGAACGTTTTACTAATTTATTGAAAACCAGATAGAATATATTAAAACTTAACATCAATCTTTGACTACAAAATATGTGTGAACTTGCAAAGATTGCTCACTTAATTTTGAGAATTTTCAAGTTCTATAAAAATAGGAAAGGGACGGACTTCCACGGCAACCCAGTGATTAAGACTCTGTGCTTCCACTGCGGGGGGCATGGATTCGATTCATGGTTGGGGAACCAAGATTCCACATGCCTTGCAGCACCCCAGAAAAGGAAATAGGAGAGGGAAATGGAAAAATAAGAGTAGTTGGTGTCTACTTTTTCTAATCATCATTTGATCTGTTTTAGTTAACACATCAATGAGGTTTTTTTCCTTGTGGGTTACAGAAATTAGTGTATTTCTAGAATTGTGTTCTTTGATGCCAATTCTTAAGATTTTTTCTGCTGTATCTTTGTGTTACATTCTGATATTTAGAAATTTGTGATAATAAATTTGTTTGCCTCACATATAATGTAACTTAAAGTGACTAGATTTTAGACAAGGTATACTTGCTACATTTCTAGTTTCACAGTTGAATGACTCTAGTTCATAAATCATCATTACTATTTCTCCCTTGATACCTATTTATCATTCAGAAATACGTTTTTTGGTTTTGTTAATGCCATAGTAGTTTGAAAAGAAGTTTGTGTGAACCCTCTTCTACTATTAACAAAATGGTGATAATTGAAAGTTTAATCACATGAGGAACTGATAACAATTTATGTTAATCAAAGAATAAGTACAGATAGTTTACAAAGAAGAAATACAAATAAAAACACATCAAGAAAATAATCATCACTAACTAAAGAAAAATGTTAGAACAGCTATTTGCCATTTCTACCTGATAGATTATAATTGCAACTCTTTTTTTAAAGAAGTGACTTTTTAATATATACATAACTTATTTATTCATTTATTATTTTATTTTTGGTTGCACTGGGTCTTCATTGCTATGAGAAGCCCACGCACCACAACGAAGAGTAGCCCCCGCTCACCACAACTAGAGAAAGCCTGCGCACAGTAACGAAGACCCAGTGCAACCTCTTAATGAATGCTGAATCTGGTTGAATAAGAATACTGATACTTTTCTGATAGCTTGTAAATAACTTTCTGGTGAGTTATTTTTATAACACATAAAAGACATGAATTTAATTTCATACAACTTCCCAGTGATCTTGTTGTTAAAGCTTTTGCTCAGAAGAAAGAGTTATTTGTACAGATTTCTTTACTAATATAACATTTATAGACTATTTGAACCTAATTCATCAGAGCATTAATTACAAGTTAACAATATTGGAGATCAGTCAGATGTCATTAAGATTTTTCAAACAGTATTCTAGGAGGTAAGATTTTGAATGATTTTTTTTCTAAAAACTGTTCTACTTCTCTGTATTTCAATACAACAAAGTGAGAATATGGGCCTTCCCAAATGTCTAGTATCTACAAATGCCGGGAAGGTAAAGTAAATATATAAAGTGGGTGGGTGTGAGTGCATATGCATGCCATGTGGAAAAGGAATAGGCTGTAAAGTTTGAGAACCAGAGCACGTGCTGAGTTGCATTCTGCTATTCAATTTCAGCCTCCCACTGATTTTTGCTAACTGGGTGCAATGTACTTTGAGCTTTTTCTATTAGAAGAGAACTAATAAAACTAGAAATAAAAAAGCTAGAAATAATAAAAAATAGAACTTGTAAAATTTGATTTTTTAAAAAAAATTTTTAATTGGAGGATAATTGCTTTAAAATATTATGTTGGTTTCTGTCATGCAGCAGCAAAATTTGATTTTTTTTAATGTGAGCCCTCCCAATGTTTAAAATGTTAGCTCAAAAGTTTTGCTTTTGTTTAGATTTTTGGCCTTAAAAAAATTTCTTTTTTTTTTTTAAATTTAACTAGCGTGGACTGGCATTTGACCAGCAAGTCACCAGTTGCAACCTTTTGAGTTAATCCAATTCTCAGGAATTAAGTTTGGAATTTTAGAAAATATTTAAAACTATTTCATGTGCATAAAAGGATGCAAAATAACTTTAGTAACAAGTATCAGGAGAGACTGTGGAAGTCTACAGATCAGTTGAGTAAAAATTTTTTAAAAATTTAGCCTAAGGATTTGTTTAAGCTTGTTGTCTTTTCTGTTATCAAGGATTTTAAAATACCCAGTAACACAACATTAAAAACTCCTCTGGTTGCTGTATTTGATGATCTGGATATAGAAGTAGAAGAAGAAGATGAACTTAAGGCAAGAGGTAAAATAATTCTCCTATATAACACACTCCTTTGTATGCTATTGCCCATTTCTTTAGGGAACTGTATTGTGAAAATTTCAAAATCTAGAGGTGATAAGATAATTATAAAAATAAATTCTAGGAACCAAGCTATTTGTTAATGCTTTTTTTAAAAAAGCCACCAGTCACAAATTAATTTGTATAATTAATCAAGGTGCATTTTAAATTCTAACTTTTTTTATTTACTGCATTATGCATCATTTGAAAATACCAAGGAAATATCCTTTTGTTTTTAATGATGCATGAATGAAAGTAATGCTAGTTGGCAATAAGAGATCAATAAAATAATTGTATTATTTAAAAGCTGAAATTTTACCTAGGAAAATTTATTACTTGTGAAAAAAACAAACTGACAATTTTGATACTTGGTTTCTCTGCCATCACTTTACTAAAGCCCACAGTATAAACTGTCTGTATATATAGTTTTGTACAAACTTTTCTGTTTTTTAATTCATATAAGGGAATCTAGTATCTACAAATGCCAGGAAGGTAAAATAAATGTATAAAGTGGGTGGGTGTGAGTGCATATGCATGCCGTGTGGAAGAGGAATAGGCTGTAAAGTTTGAGAACCAGAGCACGTGCTGAGTTGCATTCTGCTATCCAATTGTATATCTAAATAATTTTCTGAAAATTGTCACTTTGGTGTAAGTCTGACCCCTCTTTGAGTTATTGAAGTTGTTGCTACTTGTATTTCTATAATGTATTTTGTATTTCCTTACCATGGCTTAGGAACCGTAATAATTACCTAGTTATGTACTTAGTGAACACTCATAAAGTTGAGTCGTGGGATTACTGGATGATGACATAACAGTTTTTCTTCATAGGCCTGACAGGTTTGAAAAATATTGGAAACACTTGCTACATGAATGCAGCCTTGCAGGCTCTTTCTAACTGGTAAGTGGAGGAATTAATTTTGTTAGTATAGTTGTTTAAAGTTACTCTTGGAGCAGAAAACCATGATGCTATAGTATGCTTAGAAAAAAAAGAGGTGAGAGAGGGAAAAGAAAGAAATATACTTTAATAGTAATACTGAAAAGTTAATAATTATTTTCAGTCTCCCTAGCCAACAGGATCCCATTAATCCCTTGCTGTACCTCTTCCTTACCCCTCTCAACACATGAAATGCCTTCACTTAAATTATCTGGGTTAACTGAAACCTGAATGTACAAATATCCCTGAAAAGGTTTTCCTCTTTCTTGTTAATTAACTCCTAGGGTAGAGCAAGCAAGAAACTGAGTTGGGCCATAATCCGTTGTTGTCCCGGTAGGGTTACTGGTTACTCCTCTGTGCCTGTGGTTTCCTAAGAATGCTGGTCCTGGCTTAGCTCCTAGGGAGGTGTACGTCTTTGAGGAAGTTGTTTGTTTTTACATCTAGAAAAGGAGGAGCTTGAACTAATTTAATTCCTCTTACCACTTTTCTTTCAGAGATCCTAGGAAAATATTTTATATTTTTCTGTAGGTGGAAAGTCTCTAATAAAGCAGTTAGGTGTTTGTTTTTTTTTTTTCCCTCAATCTCCGTCCTGTGAAGCAGGTAGAGGCAGTATGAGATGTTCTATAGATGATCACCCAGGGAAGAGAGGGAAAGTCATAGGATCAAGTTCTGAGGAACCCTGCTATTTAGACACCTGATAAGAGCAGAAAAAAATAATAAAGAGGGGAAAGAGTTGCCAGAGAGGCAAAGAACAAAAGTAGAAAAGTGATCTGACAGCATTGAGGACTCTAATGTTGTGGGTCAAATCTGCTTTGATGTGCTCAGCAAAATAATAAGGAAATGAATGTGAAGCTGTAAAAGGGGGCAAAGAAATAATAGATACAGTGCTTTGTCATAGTTCATTAAATGACTAGAAGTCAATCAGTATTAAGCTTTGACTCGATTCTAAAATTTCTTTTTTTTTTTAAACTAGCCCGCCTTTGACACAGTTTTTTCTTGATTGTGGAGGACTGGCTCGAACAGATAAGAAACCAGCTATTTGTAAAAGTTATCTCAAACTGATGACAGAGCTCTGGCATAAAAGCAGGTATGTACTTACTGTGTTTATTTTCTTTATTATATTTTAAACTGAATATTGTAAATATTTGCAAGTGCATTTACAGAGATATAAAAAGTAGAAGAGAGACAGATTGAGGCATTCAATTTTGGCCACATTACATTTGACAATGAACATCGAAATGAAGTGATTGGAGATAAAATGTTGAATTGCTGCAGTGGCTATTACACTTCTGAATTTTGTAGACATTCTCACAATGCTAAAATCAGACCATAGAGACATATATGAATGTTTATTTTTCTGCTTATATTTATTTGCTCTAAGTGTAGCATTAGAAGAGTAATTGTTTGCTATAATGTTTTTTGTATTAGAACTCTTAGTCATTTACCCCTGTTGGGTATTACCTGGCTCTGTTATTTCCAAGTTCCTTACTCTATAGCTAGAACTTGCCCTTAACTGCTATGTTTTAAGTTTCTTTGCTCTGAAACTATAAACTTCATATTCTTCGAAGTTTACTAAACTTCAGAAGTGTCATAGTACAGGATTCTAGATGATTAAATCTCTTATGGTTTACTTTTCATTTTTGTTTTCATGGGTATTTGATAACTGGTTTAAAATTTTTATTTAGGTAGTGTACTAGGTATCCTTATCTTAATTTTGCCAGGAATTTTAAGTAATTAAAATATTATTTTAAGTAACTAGTATTTTTTGAAAAATTCTATGGTAGAGCATAGTCATTTCTTTATGGGAGAGAGGAATAAATTATAGCTTAAATATAAAAAATAAGCTATTTTCATGAACTTTTGAAGCTTAATACTGGGCCACTTTGATTTTTTGAAACACGAACACTTTTCAGTTTGACTCTTTGAATTTTAGATTTCTCATTTCTGATATAAAAATTAGGGCCTTCCCTGGTAGCCCAGTGGTTAGGACACTCAGTTCCCAGTGCAGAGTTGGATTCCCTGGTCAGAAAACTAAGATCCCACATGCTATAAGGCATAGTCAAAAATAAATAAATAAAATAATTGCTGGATACTTAAAAAAAAAAAAAAACTAACTAAAAATCACAAGTTTCTTCCTAAAAATGTTTTCTTCCTCAGGCCAGGATCAGTTGTGCCTACTACTCTGTTTCAAGGAATTAAAACTGTAAATCCAACCTTTCGGGGGTATTCTCAGCAGGTAGGTCTGTATTGCTTAGAAATTTTAAATTTGGGGGTGTGTGAATATGCCCGTATTTTCTAGTGCTTTTAGCTTTGAAAAGTTTCACATCCAGAGATAAGTTTTTACTTACATTTTTGTATTTTATAATTAAATATTTTTAATACTGTCATTTATTTCACATTACAATATGATCCAAATTTAATTTTTCACATACCGCTAACAAGTGTAGCAAACAACAGATTTAAGAATTTTCTTAATCTGTTTTTAAAAGTTTCTTCATTAATTTTTGTGCTTACATTAATATATAATAGGTCTATTTCTGGACTTTCTAATCTATTTCATTGACCTATAATTTTTTTAATTGATACCAGTGGCAGTTTCAATTATTGTTGCTTTATGTAATATTTTTTCAAGTTAATACCTAATCATATGTTAATACCTAATACCATGTTTCCTTTTTTCAAAAAGATACCTGTTCCCTATTAACTTTTTCTTGTACAAATTACTGTATCATAGGGACTTCCCTGGTGGTCCGGGGGCTAAGACTGTGTGCTCCCAATGCAGGGGACCCAGATTTGATCTCTGGTCAGGGAACTAGATCCTACATGCTGCAGCAGAGTTTGCATGTTATAACTAAAAAAAAAATCTCACTTAAAAAAATTTTTTTTAAATCTCACATAAGGTCCCAAGTGCCTCAGCTAAGACCCAGTGAAATAAAAAAGTGAAAGTGAAAATCTCTCAGTCGTGTCTGACTCTTTGAGACCCCATGGATTTCTCATGGACCCCATGAAATCCTCCAGGCCAGAATACTGGAGTGGGTAGCCGTTCCCTTCTCCAGGGGATCTTCCCAACCCAGCGATCGAACCCAGGTCTCCCTCATTACAGGCAGATTCTTTACCAGCTGAGCCACAAGGGAAACCCAAGAATACTGGAGTGGGTAGCCTATCCCTTCTCCAGCGAATCCTCCTGATCCAGGAATTGAGCCGGGGTCTCCTATATTGCAGGCGGATTCAGACCCGGTACAGCCAAATAATTAATACATAAATTTGTTTTAAAAAATTCCTGGATCACAGACACTGATTTGGTAGATGTAACTTGGGAGCTATGAATTTGTATTTTTGATAAACATTCTAGATTGATCAAGGATTGTGAGATACAGTACAAAATTAGATAGAGCTTTAATTTTAAGCCGAACATATTTGAATTTGATCTCTCTGAATTCTTATTTTCTGATAACGCAAATCCATGTTTTCTTTACACCTTACTCAAGTTTTTTTGCAATAACAGCAGTAGTAAAGCTGACTTTCAGATCATCTTCAGATTTTTTTTTAAGTGTTTATTGAAATACATCTTCAGTTTTTCATTACTTTTGTTTTCTAACTTTTTTTTGTTTTTCTAACTTTTTAGAACTTAGAACATCGTGTCCCTCCAGTGCCCTATGTTCTGTGAAGTTGTATGTCCACAGTGTAATGCTACACATGTAGAAATCAATTGCTAACCACATTTTGTGTATTTTCTCTCAAGTTTCTGCATACACATATTTTTAATGAAATGGTACTGTCTCTGTTGCTTATATATAATAGGATGCTCAAGAATTCCTTCGATGTTTAATGGATCTGCTTCATGAAGAATTGAAAGAACAAGTCATGGAAGTAGAAGAGGATCCTCAAACTATAATGACTGAAGAGACCATGGAGGAAGACAAGAGCCAATCAGATGTAGATTTTCAGTCCTGTGAATCTTGTAGCAGCAGTGATAAAGCTGAAAATGAAAATGGCTCTAGAAGCTTTTCTGAAGAGAATAATGAGACAACAATGTTAATTCAGGATGATGAGAACAATTCAGAAATGTCAAAAGATTGGCAAAAAGAGAAGATGTGCAACAAGATTAATAAAGTAAATTCTGAAGGGGAATTAGATAAAGATAGAGACTCTATATCTGAAACAGCTGATTTGAACAACCAGGAAACTGTCAAAGTGCAAATACACAGCAGAGCTTCAGGTGACAGTTTTTATAATTTGCAAATGATAGTGTTTCATTTGTGGACAAAGGGTGCAAGATATGTGTTCAAGATTATATTTGCAATTTTACTGTTTTCTGAAATAACTTCATATTTTGTGTGCAGTTTGTGACCTTATAGTTCAGCCATATTAATTTAAAGAAGTAGGGAGGGACTTTCCCTGGCAGCCCAGTGGTTAAGACTCTGTGCTTCCACTACAGGGAGTATAGGTTCTATCCCTGTCTGGGGATCTGAGATCCCACATGCTGCATGGTACGGCCAAAAAAAAAAAAGAGGGAATTAAATAGATGTTACTTTTGTGCTTTCTAACTAGTAGCTGCTGCTACTGCTGCTAAGTCGCTTCAGTCGTGTCCAACTCTGTGTGACCCCATAGACGTCAGCCCACAAGGCTCCCCCGTCCCTAGGACTCACCAGGCAAGAACACTGGAGTGGTCTAACTAGTAGAGTTTAGTACTATTTGCATGTGAGTATTAAGTTAGTGTCATTTAAAGCAGATTTGTAAAACAGCAAAATAATCCAAATTGTAGACTATTAGATTTAGATTGCTGTCATTGGAGTCATATCAACTACACAATATTTGGTGTATGCTTGGCATCAGAGTTTAATGTATTACAATGAACTCTTATAATAGATTATACCACAGTACTGGTCACTATTCTTTTGAGAAAGAGCAAGTGGCCAAATGAAAAACAGTTGAGTTGTTTCCCATTTTATTTTTTCTTGGGTTAACTTGTCTTAGCTTAATGTGGTATTTAATTCTCCAAAGCACATAAAATCAAACCATCAGAGGTTCAGATTCTCCCATCTTAAAATAAATGGCAGACAAAGAACATAAAAAATTTATCTTCTATAATTACTGAATAGCAGGCAGTACAAAATTTACTAAGATTTTTGAATGAGCACAACTTTTTTCTGGCGAAGAAGGATGTTTCCTTAACTACAGGAATATTTGTGGTTCAGTGCATTAATACTTGTGCAGTAATACTTGTGTGCAGTGCATAAATGCCTTCTAGTCAAGAAAACATGTCAGGCCCCTTGATTATACTGACATAAAGTTTAGAAGTTTAGATGTGGTTCAGTTCAGTTCAGTCGTTCAGTCGTGTCTGACTCTTTGCGACCCCATGAATCGCAGCACGCCAGGCCTCCCTGTCCATCACCAACTCCCAGAGTTTACTCAAAATTCATGTCCATCGAGTTGGTGATGCCATCCAGCCATCTCATCCTCTGTCGTCCCCTTCTCCTCCTGCCCCCCAGTCCCTCCCAGCATCAGGGTCTTTTCCAGTGAGTCAACTCTTTGCATGAGGTGGCCAAAGTATTGGAGTTTCAGCTTCAGCATCAGTCCTTCCAGTGAACACCCAGGACTGATCTTTAGGATGGACTGTTCAGATCTCCTTGCAGTCCAAGGGACTCTCAAGAGTCTTCTCCAACACCATAGTTCAAAAGCATCAATTTTTCGGCACTCAGCTTTCTTCACAGTCCAACTCTCACATCCATACATGACCACTGGAAAAACCATAGCCTTGACCAGACGGACCTTTGTTGGCAAAGTAATGTCTCTGCTTTTTAACATGCTATCTAGGTTGGTCATAACTTTCTTCCCAAGGAGTAAGCGTCTTTTAATTTCATGGCTGCAGTCACCATCTGCAGTGATTTTGGAGTCCAAAAAAATAAAGTCAGCCACTGTTTCCCCATCTATTTCCCATGAAGTGATGGGACCAGATGCCATGATCTTAGTTTTCTGAATGTTGAGCTTTAAGCCAACTTTTTCACTCTCCTCTTTCACTTTCATCAAGAGGCTTTTTAGTTCCTCTTCACTTTCTGCCATAAGGATGGTGTAATCTGCATATCTGAGGTTATTGATATTTTCCCGGTAATCTTGATTCCAGCTTGTGCTTCTTCCAGCCCAGTGTTTCTCATGATGTACTCTGCATATAAGTTAAATAAGCAGGGTGACAATATATGGCCTTGACGTACTCCTTTTCCTATTTGGAACCAGTCTGTTGGTCCATGTCCAGTTCTAACTGTTGCTTCCTGAGATGTGGTTACAAGTTGTTTAATTATTAGTTATGTAAAATTTCAGTATTGAAAGGCTCAGCAGTCTGCTATCTAGCCTTTCCTCATAAAAAACCTAATTAAGCGACCTACTAGTTCTTTATTGTTCTGTAACAAGTTTATTCTTACAATTAGTCACTAATTGATGACATAGATCAGGGATCTGAGCTTTTACATTTTCTGATTGAAAAATGTGACAAAGATGATACGTGACACACAAAATCTAAAATACATACCATCTGGTCTTTTGTAGGGATCATTTGCTAATCCCTGACCTTCCCTGACCTAGATTGTATTAACTTTATTCCCTTCGAAAAGGCCTAGAGTGAGTCTCCTCCTCTCCTATTTTCTTCCCCTAGTATTATTAGTCTACTTTTAGTCATGATTGAGATAATAATGAGAAATGCCTCTGTGAAAGTCATAAAAGTCATTTCTTGTGCATTATCTGCAAAAATCTCTGAAATCATTCTGTTTCAGCATCTGTTATGTACACTTCTCTTTTCTTCATTCAAATGCTTTTTTAGCAGTCTCTCACCATGAAATATATGTTACATACTAGGAATCCAACAGCAAATCAAGATAGCTCTCATAGAGCTTTTATTTTCTTGATTCATAATTTAATTCTCAAAAAAAAGATGTCTTTTTCTGACAGAGGGTTTTATTTCCTTTTACTACAGTAAGAATAAAATAATTTATAATTATTTCATGCCTAAATTTCTTCCTGGATTTTGATTACTATGTTAGTTTGGGAAGATAATCTCTTTTTCTCCCATATGGTTTTAAAGTTTTCTAAAAACTGCCTCAATTTGCTTTAGTTTTTTAACTACTAAATTAGGACAAGTACAGTCCTCTTCTGCTATATATTTCCACTGCACACTTTCTGTATGTGTTATGAACAGTAATGTGTTATGAACATTAATTGGACTCTTAGGGGGAAAATCACTGTTACTCACTTAGCAAGCATAATGTCTGTTGAGTATTTCACCTGATATTAATGTGAATTGTGTTCAAAATCTCAGATGAAAAAAGCTTTCTTTGACAGGTGGAATAATTTTACTATTTAAGGTAATAATACAAATTTTAAATATTACAGAATATATTACTGATGTCCATTTGAATGACCTGTCTACACCACAGATCCTCCCATCAAATGAAGGTGTTAATCCACGATCATCAGCAAGCCCTCCTAAATCAGGCAGTTTGTGGCCAGGATTGCCACCCACACACAAAAAAGGTAGATGTTTCAGTTACTCAGGTTCCTTTGCTTTAATAGTTTAAAGTGTTAATTATGAAATATTATTCAGGCTTTTTTAAATTGACATCATCATTTTATACAGCCGTGATTTAAAATATTTTTGTGTGTGTGGCACAAATTTATATATGACAGAGTTTACTCTTTTGGCATAGGGTTCTGAGTTTCAGCACATGCAGAGATTGTTACGACCACCACCACAAACACAGTGTAGAACAGTTCCAGCTCCCCAAAGAAGTCCCCCATAGTATTATTCCATTCCCTCCCAAAGCCCCAGCCCTATCTGTTCTCAATTCCTATTGTTTTTCCTTTTCCAGAATGTCATATACATGTAATCATACAGAGCATAGCCTTTTGAAACAGGCTGCTTTCACTTAGCTTAATGCATTTGAGATACAGTCACATTACATGTCTGAATAGTTCTTTTTTATTACTTAGTATTTCATTGTGTGACTATACTGTGTAATACACAACTCAGTGAGTGCATATACTCACTGAAGGATATATGAATTTGTTTCCAGTTTTTGGCAGTTACAAATAATGTTGCTATAAATATTTATGTACTAGTTTTTGTATGAACATAAATTGTCACTTGTTCAGGGTAAACACCTAGATGTGGGGTGATTGGGTTTTGTGTTAGTTTTATGCTTAATGCTGCGTGAAGTTAAAGAGTCTTCATGACTTTGTGTTAGAATTGTTTAAAGACATCAAAGACATCAAAAGCATGACCCATAAATGAAAAAAAATTAAAATCTTTCTTGGCAAAATTATTAAGAGAATGAAAAGATTGGGAGAAAATATTTGTAAATCACATACTTGACAGAAGACTTGTATCTGGAATATATAAAGAACTCTCAAAAACTTAATAGAATCCTTTCTTCAAATAAAGCCTTACTTGGAAGCAACAACAAAAAAGTAAAAGCAAAACTGTTCTGGTTGAAGTCAAGATGGAGAGACTGAACTATTTTGTCACGGTCTCTCTTTGAGGATTTTTGGTTGTTTTTTGTGTTTTCTTTAGGTAGTCCTCTCGAATGGTATTTTGACAGATTTTTTTCAACAGAGTAATTTTGCTGTAAATAGTTTCAGAAAAAATGTAAAGGAATTATTTTGATTTCTAAAAGAAAAAATTCTTCTATACTTGTTTTTCAATCCTAGTTCAATCTGCATTATCTCCAAAGAGAAAAAAACAGCACAAGAAATACCGAAGTGTTATTTCAGACATATTTGATGGAACAATCATTAGTTCAGTTCAGTGTCTGACTTGTGACAGAGTGAGTATGAAAGAATTATAATACACAGGAGATTTCTTTCAAATGCTTTGAAAAAAACAAGATGGTGTGAGAAGTTTTAATTCCTTCTCTTTGCTATTGATGATTATACATGTATTTCAGGTGTTTGCATAAGTATAAATTGATTCTAAGAGTAGAACTTGTTTTTTGGAAGTAGTAGCAGCATACTTTTTTGAGGATGGGTCTTGACTTGTCATTGAACAGGCATGCGTTAGCAGGAAGAATTAACTCAGTTCTTCATCTCTGGTAACAAATAAAGGAGATATGTTGCTCAGCAACCAGAATTTGAAACACATGCATATTCTCCCAAGGCTGATGAAATTAGTAGGAAACAGTTGTTACTGACTTCTACAAGGCTATCTATGTATCATCTTACTTGGTTGTATGGTTTGTAAATATTTTCTCATGTTAAGATTGGATTCAGATAATAAAAGTAGTATCAGGTTTATATAGAAGAGCATAAGTTAATATCATCATGAGATTTTTAATAATACCTCTAAATTCCTGAATTTCTTAGAGGTTTTAAGAATGGTTTTTCTTCAGTATAGTGATGACTATAATTAAAAGAAATGTAAAATGACATATCTCAAAAAAAGAAATAACCCAAAGAAAGTTTTCTGTTATTGTGTTAGAATTAAATCAAATCTAAGGGTTTTCTATAGTCTATTTTAGTATCAGTTATTTAAGTAGAATTATCCTGAAATGTTTTCAGCTGTTTAGGTTTTACATCTTGTTTTTTAAATTACATTTAATAAGTATCACTAGAGGTCATTTCCAAAAATAAATGCAGTAGTGATAAACAGTTTGAACCTCAAGCTATAGTGGCTGGGTGTGAGGTACTTCTTTTTACCACTGTGTTCTCAACTAATGGGGATGTTAGTAGTTATGGTTTATGTGAAGATTAAATTTAGAACAGTGCCTGGTACAAAGCAGTTTTGCTTTAGTTGTTACTATTTTTGCTTTGTTATTACTATAAAAAGCAGTTTGGTGTTTTGGTTTTTTTCCTTATTATAATTTGCTTGGATCTTTGCCGTCTGAAATCTGTCCTCAGGTGTTTGTGCTGGATTATTTTCATCCCATTCTTAAAACACAAAACAATTTTAGGTGTCTGTAACCCTCGAGACCTTTCAAGATCTGTCCTTGCCGATTCCTGGCAAGGAAGACCTTGCTAAGCTGCATTCATCAAGTCATCCAACATCTATAGTCAAAGCAGGATCATGTGGCGAAGCATATGCTCCACAAGGGTGGATAGCTTTTTTCATGGAGTATGTGAAGAGGTATGTGTGTATTTTCTTTGTTATTAGTTCATTGTTAAAACTGCTGTTTCTGCTGTACTGGCAGAACATTTCCTTTCTTTTTTCTGTCAATGATGTTTCAGGTTTGTTGTCTCATGTGTCCCTAGCTGGTTTTGGGGTCCAATAGTAACCTTGCAAGATTGTCTTGCTGCCTTCTTTGCCAGAGATGAACTAAAAGGTAAGAAATACAAAATAGTTTTCATCTATGGCTAAACTGTTGTGAGTGAGCTAAAATATTAATAGGGCTAAATATGAAATGTATTCATAAAAGCTAAATTTTGAGCAGCTTCAATCGTGCTTGCCCGTATTGCCACCTTGCCAGCTTCTATCATATGACAACATAAATACTGTAAATAATATCCTGAAATAATTGATACAACCTCCTATAGTACTAGACATTATGATATTTGAAGTGTGTTAAATCTGCTCTGAGATTGAAAAAAGAGAAAATTCAGCCAGTATAAAAGACTATATCTGGATTAGTCTGAATTTCTCGGTAGTGTTTAAATCCAATCCTTCACTATTTTTGGGTGCCAGCACCTTGCTTCAACATACAATAGGCAGTCTAAATTTTCTTGAGTGAATAAGTGGGCACAATGTTATTTGAGATAGCCCTTCTGGGTTGAAAACAAGAGGGAAGTGAAAGGTGTTGTAGGCAAGGTTAACATGCTGACTTGAGCAGAGACTAAAAAATGTGTTGCTGTTCTACGGGGTCAGCATGACAAACTCAAAGAATTGCAAAACCAAAAGAAAATAACTTTCTTTTAGTTGAAGAGGAATAACCAGATCTATTCTATTCTCAGGTGACAATATGTACAGTTGTGAAAAATGCAAAAAGTAAGTGTCATTGGTAATGCTTTTAATTGCATACTTTGTATTTTAAATGATATTTCTGTTGGTTATTTGAATTGGACATGTAAGATTTGTCCTAGTAAAAATGAAGAAACCTATTCTGTAAAACAAATCCAAGGTTAAAAATTTAACAAATTTTATAGGCTTAGCTAATATGTGACAGTGTATTTTGAGATAAGGCAAGTATGTCATTTTGCAAAAAAACATTTTCCATAATATATTATAGACATATACTAGGATATATAACATGTATCTTTATTACATAGGTTAATTCTGCCATCATAAATAATGCAGTATTCTCTTCTGGTTTCTCACCTTAACAGGCTAGATATAAGAAGTGAAAGTGATTATAAAGGTACATAGTTTCAAGTCTATGTAAAATTCAGAAAGTTAATAGTGAAGGGATGGAGCCAAAGAAAAAACAACACCCAGTTGTGGATGGGACTGGTGATAGAAGCAAGATTCGATGCTGTAAAGAGCAATATTGCATAGGAACCTGGAATGTTAGGTCCATGAATCAAGGCAAATTGGAAGTGGTCAAACAGGCGATGGCAAGAATGAACATCAACATTCTAGGAATCAGGAAACTAAGATGGACTGGAATGGGTGAATTTAACTCAGATGACCATTATATCTACTACTGTGGGCAGGAATCCCTTAGAAGAAATGGAGTAGCCATCATAGTCAACAAAAGAGTTTGAAACGCAGTACTTGGATGCAATCTCAAAAATGACAGAATGATCTCTGTTCATTTCCAAGGCAAACCATTCAATATCACGGTAATCCAAGTCTATGCCCCAACCGGTAATGCTGAAGAAGCTGAAGTTGAATGGTTCTTTGAAGACCTACAAGACTTGCTAGAACTAACACCCAAAAAAGATGTCCTTTTCATTATAGGGGACTGGAATACAAAAGTAGGAAGTCAAGAAACACCTGGAGTAACAGGCAAATTTGGCCTTGGAGTACAGAATGAAGCAGGGCAAAGGCTAACAGAGTTTTGCCAAGAGAACACACTGGTCATAGCAGACACTCTCTTATAACAACACAGGAGAAGACTCTACACATGGACATCAACAGATGGTCAACACCGAAATCAGATTGATTATATTCTTTGCAGCCAAAGATGGAGAAGCTCTATACAGTCAGCAAAAACAAGACCGGGAGCAGACTGTGACTCAGATCATGAACTCCTTATTGCCAAATTCAGACTTAAATTGAAGAAAGTAGGGAAAACCACTAGACCATTCAGGTATGACCTAAATCAAATCCCTTATGACTATGCAGTGGAAGTGAGAAATAGATTTAAGGGACTAGATCTGACAGACAGAGAGCCTGATGAACTATGGACCTAGGTTCATGACATTGTACAGGACAGGGAGCAAGACCATCCCCAAGAAAAAGAAATGCAAAAAAAGCAAAATGGCTGTCTGAGGAGACCTTACAAATAGCTACAAAAAGAAGAGAAGCGAAAAGCAAAGGAGAAAGGAAAGATACACCCATGAATGCAGAGTTCCAAAGAATAGCCAGGAGAGATAAGAAAGGCTTCCTCAACGATCAGTGCAAAGAAATAGAGGAAAACAATAGAATGGGAAAGACTAGAGATCTCTTCAAGAAAATTGGAGATACTAAGGGAATATTTCATGCAAGGATGGGCTCAGTAAAGGACAGAAATGGCAGAAGATATTAAGAAGAGGTGGCAAGAATACACAGAAGAACTGTACAAAAAAGATCTTCATGACCCAGGTAATCACGAAGGTGTGATCACTCCCACTCACCTAGAGCCAGACATCCTGGAATGTGAAATCAGGTGGGCCTTGGAAAGAAGCATCACTACAGATAAAGCTAGTGGAGGCGATGAAATTCCAGTTGAGCCATTTCAGGTTCTAAAAGATGATGCTGTGAAAGTGCAGCAGTCAATATGTCAGCAAATTTGGAAAATGCAGCAGTGGCCACAGGACTGGAAAAGGTCAGTTTTCATTCCAGTTCCGAAGAAAGGCAATCCCAAAGAATGCTCAAACTACCGCACAATTGCACTCATCTCACACACTAGTAAAGTAATGCTCAAAATTCTCCAAGCCAGGCTTCAGCAGTGTGTGAACTATGAACTTCAGATGTTCAAGCTGGTTTTAGAAAAGGCAGAGGAATCAGAGATCAAATTGCCAACATCCACTGGATCATTGAAAAAGCAAGAAAGTTCCAGAAAAGCATCTGTTTCTGCTTTATTGACTATGCTAAAGCCTTTGACTGAGGGGATCACAACTGTGGAAAATTCTGAAAGAGATGGGAATACCAGACCCCCTGACCTTCCTCTTGAGAAACCTGTATAGAGGTCAGGAAGCACCAGTTAGAACTGGACGTGGGACAGCAGACTGGTTCCAAATAGGGAAAGCAGTACATCAAGGTTGTATGTTGTCACCCTGCTTATTTAACTTATATGCAGAGTACATCATGAGAACCGCTGGGTTGGAGAAAGCACAAGCTGGAATCAAGATTGCCGGGAGAAATATCAATAACCTCAGATATGCAGATGATACCACCCTTATGCCAGAAAGGGAAGAAGAACTAAAGAGCCTCTTGATGAAAGTGAAAGAGGAGAGTGAAAAAGTCGGCTTAAAGCTCCACATTCAAAAAACTAAGATCATGGCTTCCGGTCCCATCATTTCATGGCAAATAGATGGGGAAATGGTGGAAACAGTGGCTGACTTTATTTTTCTGGGCTCCAGAATCACTGCGGATGGTGACTGCAGCCATGAAATTAAAAGACGCTTACTCCTTGGAAGGAACGTTAATGACCAACCTAGACAGCATATTAAAAAGCAGAGGCATTGCTTTGTCAACAAAGGTCCGTCTAGTCAATGCTATGGTGTTTCCAGTAGTCATGTATGGATGTGAGAGTTGGACTAAAAAGAAAGCTGAGCTCTGAAGAATTGATGCTTTTGAACTGTGGTGTTGGAGAAGACTGTTGAGAGTCCCTTGGACTGCAAGGAGATCCAACCAGTCCATCCTAGAGGAGATCAGTCTTGGGTGTTCATTGGAGGGACTGATGTTGAAGCTGAAACTCCAATGCTTTGGCCACCTGTTGCGGAGAGCTGACTCATTTGAAAAGACCCGAATGCTGGGAAAGATTGAGGGTAGGAGGAGAAGGGGATGACAGAGGATGAGATGGTTGGATGGCATCACCGACACAATGGACATGGGTTTGGGTGGACTCCAGGAGTTGGTGATGGACAGGGAGGCCTGGTGTACTGCAGCTCATGGGTTCACAAAGAGTTGGACGCAACTGAACTGAACTGAACTGATACTGTCGGTAATGTTACCTGCTGTATGAGGGCCAAATGAAAAAGACAGATAAGAAAGTATGGCTTTAAAAAAAAAAAGAAAAAGAAAGTATGGCTTTGAGGAGGGAGGAAAGCTCAAAAGGGAAGGGATGTATATAAATCATGACTCATTCAAGTTGTATGGCAGAAACCAGGACATTGTAAAGCAGTTATCCTCCAATTAAAAAATAAGTAAAATATGAACAATAAAAAGCATCATACTATTTAAAAAACAAAAAGTATGGTTTTGTTTCTTTATATCTATACTAGCTGCCTCTTTCTATCTTGTAATAAAATTACGCTTTTAAGTCTTCTTGGTGATGAGTCAGAAAAGAAAAACGAAGAATTTAAAGCAAATATATTTAAGGTAGAATGAACTAGAAAATTTTTCTGAATCTTTCTAATAGAAAAATAAAGGCCCCCTAATAAGATACACAATCTTCATAATGCAAACTTCTGGCTTTTGTCAAAAACCCAGGGAAATGTTCTACAGCTATTGGTCTGTTTCATGACAGAAACGTATAGTGTACTGTTTGGTCAGTAAGGAGGAAAAGCTGCCTTGTACTTTCTAGAAAAAAGTACACTTCTAGTGAATTGGAAAGTATTTATTATCAGGTTGTCCTGGAAGCCACAGTTGATAGCTGATGACAGAGTTGACCCAGAGGGGGAATCTTTCTTGGGAAAACAGTGCCAGCTAAAAAAAGGTAATAATGAAGGTGGAAAAGAACTTGCATCCACCCCAGAATCCAAAATCCAAAGTAGAGATCTGCCAAGTATATGTTAATATTGATTACTGGGAATTCCCTTGCACTCTAGTGGTTAAGACTCTCTGCTCACTGCCCGGGGCCCAGGTTTGATCCCTGATTAGGAAACGTAAGATCCTACCAGCCATGTGGTATGGCCAAAAAAAAAAAATTTGATTATTAATAATAACCACTCTTTATTTATCTCAGGTTATTCATTTCCACATTCAGGGTAAAGGTTGTAGGGACTTCCCTGGTGGTCAGGTGGCTGAGACTCCATGCTTCCAATGGAGGGGGCCTGTTAATAAAAGATTTCCACATGCCGCAACTAAAACCTGGTGTAGCCAAGTAAATAGATATTTTACAAAAAAAAAAAAGAGTAAAGTTTATATAATTTATTGACCTGACCAATCAATTCTATAAAACTAGGATTTTATTTTACCCAGTTTCATTTGATACGTGAATGTTCTAAAGGCATAGCCAGACCATAGAAAGTAGATTTTTCATCAAAGAATTACATAACTCTGAAGTTTTATCTCAATTTAAATAATTTTTTACAGAAAGTGATTCCGGTGTTTTATTAGTATGTTTTTAATTGGTAGCATATAATTCAGTAGTAATCATTTTTAGTTTGATACCTTTGTCTCTGCATTTTCTAAAAGATTTTGCTGTATAGTTGAAAATACTAAAGGTTTTGTAGATGTGTTTGGGAAACTGTTTTATTAAAATTGGTTTTCCCTTTTTATCCCTTAGGTTGAGAAATGGAGTAAAGTTTTGTAAAGTACAAAAGTTTCCTGAGGTATGGGCTTTATGACAATTCATTTTATTTTATGTGGTAGGTAAAGCTTTAATGTAACACAGTGCAGTGAATTCTTTAGCATTTGTTGAAGAGTGAAGTGGTTCTATTGACCAGTTACTATGTATACCCATTATGATTATCCATTTTTAAAATACTGGATTGCATGTCAAGTAAGTGCCCCTAGCAGTAAACAAAATTATGTTAAACACATAGTTTAATCAGACATTGTAGGGTCTTGCAGGTATAAAGTGTAAAATTGGAAAAACCAGTAGCCATGGACCTAGGAAGTACCACATTCAAGGATTTTCACATTTTAGCATCTCTGGAATCAGGTTATCAGAATTGGATGATTATGTTTAATCTTGACAATAAGTGTATTTAAGACTTCTTTATCTAGAACAAGACATTTTGAAATAATCCTACCTTTCTCTTTTAAAAAGATTTTGTGCATCCATCTTAAAAGATTCAGACATGAACTGATGTTTTCCACCAAAATCAGTACCCATGTTTCATTTCCACTGGAAGGCCTGGATCTTCAACCATTTCTTGCTAAAGATAGTCCAGTGCAAATTGTTACCTATGATCTTCTGTCAGTCATTTGTCACCATGGAACTGCAAGTAGTAAGTATACAAGTTTGACATATGATTTTACATTAAAGAAAGAAACATCTGAATTGATCTCTCTCTTTTTTTTTTTTCCATTTATTTTTATTAGTTGGAGGCTAATTACTTTACAACATTGCAGTGGTTTTTGTCATAAATTGAAATGAATTAGCCATGGATTTACATGTATTCCCCATCCCGGTCCCCCCTCCCACCTCCCTCTCCACCCGATCCCTCTGGGTCTTCCCAGTGCACCAGGCCCGAGCACTTGTCTCATGCATCCAACCTGGGCTGGTGATCTGTTTCACCCTAGATAATATACATGTTTCGATGCTGTTCTCTTGAAACATCCCACCCTCGCCTTCTCCCACAGAGTCCACAAGTCTGTTCTATACATCTGAGTCTCTTTTTCTGTTTTGCATATAGGGTTATCGTTACCATCTTTCTAAATTCCATATATATGTGTTAGTATACTGTAATGGTCTTTATCTTTCTGGCTTACTTCGCTCTGTATAATGGGCTCCAGTTTCATCCATCTTCATTAGAACTAATTCAAATGAATTCTTTTTAATGGCTGAGTAATATTCCATGGTGTATATGTACCACAGCTTCCTCATCCATTCGTCTGCTGATGGGCATCTAGGTTGCTTCCATGTCCTGGCTATTATAAACAGTGCTGCGATGAACATTGGGGTGCACGTGTCTCTTTCAGATCTGGTTTCCTCGGTGTGTATGCCCAAATGAATTGATCTCTTAAACAAGCCCTGACTGAAAAAAAGAAAAAAATGTGTAAAAGTAGATTTTTATTAATTATTTTATTTTGGCTTTTAAAAACATCAGAAATTTTAGGAATTTGAATAATTTTACTCTCATGTTTAAAATAGTAGAAATACATTTTGTGTTAAGAGAAATAGTAAGAATTTTAATGTGATTATTTTTTACACTGGGTTTTTAAAATTGCATTCTTTGTTCTGATTTTCATTTCCTCCAGTGATGGTGGTAAGGGTACATACTAGAAAAAATAGGGTAGTTCTTGCTATGTCTCTGCTAGATAGGAACTGAGGCTACAAAACTAGTTTTATCTTCCATTCTTGTGTTAATTTTGTATTACTGAAATAATTTAAATTTTCTCTGCCTAAATTCAGGTGGACACTATATTGCCTACTGCCGAAACAATTTAAATAATCTCTGGTATGAATTTGACGACCAGAGTGTCACTGAAGTTTCAGAGTCTACTGTGCAAAATGCAGAAGCTTATGTTCTCTTCTACAGGTGAGGTAATAACTCATGAGTAGGCTGTTTTGACAAAAGATGACAAAGCGTCTCATGTTGAGGTTAATAGTGACTTCTAAGACTTTCAAAATGGATTGCTGAGTAAAGATTAGAAATTGTTTTACTCTCCTTACGTCAGTAAAAGTGAAAGTTTTTGTGTAGAATGATCTTTTGTTAAGAAAATGTTAAATTGTTTAGTTGGGGGCAAAGGGTTATATTTTGTTTTAGAAACATTTGTTTTACTTTTAAAAATTAGGCACTGACAGTAGGAACTAAATACCAAATTTTCTCCTAACATAGCCAATAAAGGAGGTATTAATATAAAATACTTTATAGTACCCTCTAAAAGATTGTACAGGCTACTGTCTTATTAGCAATCATTTGATTGTCTGTTTTCTAACAGTAGTTATGTGGATACCAGTAGTTATCACCTAGATATCACCCCTAGGGTTATAATGTAGTGGGGGAAGCAGGGAGCAAAGTACAATATATTTCTTATGAATAATTTTCAAGACCTAATAAGATTCACAGTACAGTCCACCCTCCATGTGCATGGGTTCTTCATCTGAGGATTCAACCAACGGCAGATAAGACATATTGGGGAGGGAAAGATTACAGAAAGTTCCAAAAAGGAAAACTTGAAATTGTTTACCAGTAACTATCTACCTACCATTTATGCTCTATATACTAATGTTTGCATAGCATTTACACTGTATTAGGTATTATGTAATCTAGAAGTAATTTAATGTATATGAGAGGATATGCACAGGTTACATGCAAATGCTACTCCATTTTATATAAGGCTTTGGTATCTGCAGGGTTCCTGGAACCAGTCCCCCATGGATATGGAGGGATAACTGTATTAGTGTGTATGCAAAGTCTAATAAGGAAGTGGAAAAATCCGCTTTACTAGCCTAATGGAGTAAAATGTTTATTGAATATAATGAATCACTATCCTTAATAGGAAGAGCAGTGAAGAAGCACAAAAAGAGAGGCGAAGAATATCAAATTTGTTGAACATAATGGAACCAAGTCTCCTTCAGTTTTATATTTCTCGACAGTGGCTAAATAAATTTAAGACCTTTGCTGAACCTGGCCCTATTTCAAATAATGATTTTCTCTGTATTCATGGAGGTAAGAAACTCTAGTGAAAAGTAGTAGTAGGAATTTGCTATTAAATAATTTACAAATAAGGCAAGAGCCAAGGATTTTCCTCTTCCATTTATTTTCCGTTTCCCCATCTGCATTCCAGCTTAAATGTGTTTAATTTACTATGGTCTCAGAAGTTATTTTTTTCTTATAAGTATGGGTAATGTATAGCCTCTTCATAGAATATATATTAATATATATTGGGTACCATTTCCAAACTCTGTGCTAAGAGTCTAAAAATACCAGAAGCACTGTTTCTGCGCTCAAAGCTCCAGTTTCATAGTAAAGACAGAGGCATAAACACCCGATTGAGGCACAGGGAGCACGTCTGTTGCTCATCCTTCTTCTCACTGAGAGACATCCAGCTCCAGCTGTACCCATGGCTCTTATCCCTTCTGTCTAAATGAATAGCAGGCTCTTTCCTAACTGAAAAAATGTACTTGGAATTTAACAACAAAAAAACCTCATGCAGTTATTTGCTAAATATAACTTCTTCCTTTGTCATTGACTGTGTTACTGCTTGTTCCCATGACAAATAATACCTTAGTGTGACATTTTAATTAACTTTCATGGTCAAAGACTTGTTATTCTCATTAATTAATTATTTTTGCAGTGAAACCACAAGAGATAGTAGAAATGTCCTGTATTGGATTTAGAAATCTAAACTTTCAAAATATTTCTGTATGTGGATTTTTCTCTTATTACTTTCTCCCACTTGAGCTATTAACTTAAGTCTCTTCCTGTTCAGAATCTCCCTATAATCTTTTTATGGCATTTATCTGTGCCTGCTTTTTATTTTGGTTACTCATGTAATTCTTCATTTCTTCTTCTGGCTTATAAGCTCCATGAAGAAAAGATTGTCTCTGATTTATCTCTGATTTGCCCCAGTACATAGTCAAGGCTTAGTAAAAATTTATGTTAAATACCTGAACATCTTGGTTAACTTACTCTCTATTTCAAGAGAAAATACACCTTCAGGAACATATGTTTATACTTAATTTTCTACCTCTTGGGGAGTGTTTTTAAGAATAATAATTGGAAAAAATGCCAGGAATTAATCAGTTAAAATTAACAAAAAGAATGAGACAGACTCATTTTAAACTTTTCTAGGTGTTCCTCCACGAAAAGCTGGTTATATTGAAGACCTGGTTTTGATGCTTCCTCAGAACATTTGGGATAACCTATATAGCAGGTTTGTTTTTTTAAATCAGACAGTATGATATTGTGAAAATCAGTTTATGAAATTTGTTAAAGAGAGATTGGTTATTTTGTATGTGCTCCTTGTGCTGTATGATGCTTATATAGAATATTCCCTTTTCCTTCATTTATTCACTCTGAGGCATGACTGGAGAGACTTTTGTAGCTGGAGTGGCCCTCGTCTAGATAATTAAGTCTAATTTTTCCTTTCTGATAATCTGTATCTATAAAGGTATGCTATGATATTTAACTCTCTTAAGTTTTAAATTTTATTTAAAAATATTTCACATAATCCCCTAATATATTTCTTAAATGTTGAAAATAATTCATTTCATGAATTCTTACATGAGTGGACAGGGTAAGTCTCCTTCTGATTAAAACTTGATTAAAACTGTGGCTGTGTATAACTTGAGATTTATAAACATATAAACATGCTAATTTTTGACAGCTACTTCTTTTATTGTATGTTATTTGCCACAAACATTTTGTAACAAAAGTAGCTGTAAGGGAAAGTTCAAATATAGATAAAGCAGACAAAGCAATAAACTGATACAGTCATTGACCCTGAAAAGCATAAAATCAAGTCCTCACAATAATTTGGTTTTTACATTTTATGAAAACTTGTATGCATTTCCTAGATCAGCTTTCTTCCAAATTATCTTAATTATTAATATTCTTCATGCCTTAGGTATGGAGGAGGACCAGCTGTCAACCATCTGTATATTTGTCACACTTGCCAGATTGAAGCAGAGAAAATTGAAAAAAGAAGAAAAACTGAATTGGAAATTTTTATTCGGGTAAAAAAATGATGCTTTTCAAATTAGAAAAATGAACTAAAATAAAGAAAAAAAGTGACCCTTATAAAAACTCTGTAAGTGAAATGATTGGATGAAAGAGTTGTAATAGATTTTAAGTGTTATGGGCACATAACAGTGAGAGACCCCAGTAAAGTGACTATAGTTCTCGTGAGTTAAGTTCTTCCTTTGTGGATTTTTGTTTTCATGGATTGGTAATAAATTTGGGTTTAAGTATTGGCACTGGCAAGAAATCTTTCTGAAATAGTCAGTTATAGATTTTGGAAAGCTAGTGATTTTTTGGAAGGCATCTATTCAGGTTGCATTCTCTACTTTCACCCCTTTGTAAAGTAAATATTGTTTGGGGGAGGTCTCTATACTTATACCTAGTTCCCACAAAGTGAGTATATTACAAGATGTTTCTTGATTACAGGCAATAGGAAGTCTGATCACAGAATCAATAGGAAGAGCTGAATAACCAGGTTCTATGGAGAGAAAGAGTACCCTTCCATTTGTCTAGGTAGCTTGAAGTAAGTTTCTTCAAAGTGGTGCTGTCAGTAAAACAGCTCCAACTATTTGTGTACTCGAATTCCTATAGAGAATCCTACTAGAGTTTGGGTCACTTGAGAGGCATGTTCATTGTGTTCCTGTTGAAATTATATTGGTGGAGGGATAATTCTGTAAGGTAAGATTGAGATTCTTTTAGTTAAAGACGGGGAGAAGTTATTGAGTAGATGTTATAGATGAATAGTACATTTCATGGTATGGACACACACTTCTCTTCACACATACCTATTTCTTTTGATAGACTTAGAGGTTTTTTTTGTGTAAATAAAGTGTTTTATTTACACAAAATTTGTTTATTTGCCTAAATAAAGACATTTTCACATACACAGGAGAATACACATACACAGGTGTGGATTGATTTATTGTGCTTGAGCCTCATTTGCTTCCTAAATACAAAGAGGCAAATTTTAGTTGAATATTAAAAATAAGTCATTCCATGAATACTTAAATAGATGGCTCATGACTGTATCCATTAGGGTTTGTTCAATAGAAGCCATTCTAAGTATTTTGAGTAGAATAGGAATACAAGCAATGTAAGACTTAAATAACTACTAAAAGGACTGGTCAGTGAAGATCAAGAAGACCATAGCTGACTTTCAGGAAATATGGAAGGTGGGTAGGCTGCCATACAAGAGATAGGTGCAGGGACAGTGGCTCAGAGTGGGGTTTCAGAGCCCAGACAAGGTAAAGAAAGCTTTTTATAGTGGTGTGGGCCTGGTCAAGGGTGTTGGAGCACAGGCAACATAGGAACGGTTGTCCATGTTGGCTGGAGATGGATATGTGAGGAGGCACAGCATAGTCGTGGTGGTAGATTTGAAGGACTGATTCCTTGTGTGGGATTGATTCCATGTGTAGGATTGATCAGATTATACAGGTATAATGAGAGCCAGATTTCTTATCATTAGATAAAGCAGTTACAAATATTGAAATAGAGAAAACTAAAACGGACTCTTTGTTATTAGATTAAAATTACAGATATCATTGTGAACTCACTGTATAGACATGTACATATATGTGTGTGTGCTCAGTCATGTCAGACTCTTTGGGACCTTCTGGACTGTAGCTCGCCAGGTTGCTGTGTCCATGGGATTATCCTGGCAAGAATGCTGAAGTGGGTTGCCATTTCCTCCTCCAGGGGATCTTCCCAACCCAGGGAACAAACCCAAGTCTCTTGCATCTCCCGCATTGCCAGGTGCATTCTTTACCACTGAGCCACCTGGGAAACCCACATACATACATATGGAGCTATGAATGTGTATATGTGCACATGTATATAGAAATAAATGATGTACCTAAATTTCCTAACTCTTGTCACTGAAAAGGCCTGGATAACTCCAGTAGGACTGAGCATACCCAGCTTTCTTCAGATCTTGGCTTCTCTAGTCAAAGTGACCAGCCCTCCTTGGAGAAATGGCTGCTTTCAGGGCTGAGGCAGGGGAATTGCAAGATGAGCTTGGAATTTCACTCTGTTCCAAAAAGTTAAGAAGTTTTTGAAGAATGATGGGGAAATGTCAGAAGTACACAGAAGCCAGCTTGAAGGAACTTTTCCTTGCCAAATTTGGGACAATTTGTGCTTCAAAATAAATTATAATAGTATTCAGTTCAGTTCAGTCGCTCAGTCGTGTCCAGCTCTCTGCGACCCCATGGACTGCAGCATGCCAGGCCTCCCTTTCCATCACCAATTCCTGGAGTTTACCCAAACTTATGTCCATTGAGTCAGTGATGTCATCCAACCATCTCATCCTCTGTCATCCCCTTCTCCTCCTGCCCTCAATCTTTCCCAGTATCAGGGTCTTTTCAAATGAATCAGCTCTTCGCATCAGGTGGCCAAATTCAACATCAGTCCTTCCAATGAATATTCAGGACTGATCTCCTTTAGGATGGAGTGGTTGGATCTCCTTGCAGTCCAAGGGACTCTCAGGAGTCTTCTCCAACACCACAGCTCAAAAGCATCAATTCTTCAGAGCTCAGCTTTCTTTATAGTCCAACTCTCACATCCATACATGACTACTGGAAAAACCATAGCCTTGATTAGATGGACCTTTGTTGGCAAATAATAGTATTATATATATAATAGTATTATAACCCATTAAACAAAATAGGAGATATTGTGCCCATACTGTTATAAATAAATAAGTGAGTAAATTTGAAAGACGGATGCAAAATGGAATATTAACATAGTTCCAACTTATTTCTCACAAAATACTTATTACTTTCAAAGAGAAAAGACTGGCACCCAACTCAATGAAGTCATTAAAGTGAGCATCTTTAATGGAACATCATTAATGGAACATATCAAAATCATTTGCCAGGAAAGGATACAATGAGAAGAACACAGCATCACTTGTTTGGTACATGATGCATGACCTGAATCTCAAATGAGGAAAATCAGACAAACCATTTTTTGTCTGATTGGGGGGCATTTTATAAGATAACTGGTTTATAATCTTCAAAATTGTCCTGATTGTGAAAGTCAAGACTAAGGAACTGTGTCACCTTAAAGGAAATGTGAAGTTATGTGCAGCAGGCGATTCTTGGGGTTTTCTGGTTTATGGGGGGCTTTTTTGGTCATGCAGCATGTAGGACCCTAGTTCCTGGACCAGGGATCAAACCTGTGCCTCCTGAAATGGAAGTGCAGGGTCTCAACCACTGGACTGCCAGGAGTCATCCAATAGGTAATTCTTAACTGGATTCTTTGGCTATAAACAATATTGTTGAGTCATTTAGAAAAATGATGGAGTCTGAGGATTAGATGCTAGTATTATATCAGTATTTCTAGGTTTTTATCATTTGTGTCAAATGTTTAAGAAAAAGTCCCTGTGTGTTTAGCAAATTACCCAGAAACGGCTCAGAAAAAATTTCTTTGTATTGTACTGGAGTTTTCCTATAAGTTTGAGACTGTTTCAAAGCTGAAAAAATTTGATTACCAAAAGCCTCTGGAAATGACCTATATTGCTTGCCACTGGCAGGTCTCTAGAATGCTCAGACACCCAGAGTTCTATCAGTCAGCATATCCATTTCTGGATGATGATCATTTATGTTTAGTTCAGTCACAATCTCCCTTGTATATTCTGTAATCTAAAGAATAAACCATAAGATTAACCACCAATAATATACTTTGTATGAAATAGAGGACTGAAAGAAAGGAAAAATAAATTGGTAATTTTTTTCATATTTAGTAAATATTTACAAATATGTACAGGGGACAAGGAAGAAATATGTCTCTATGGCGGATAACTACCCATTCCATATTCTCTGTCTTCTCAACCAGCACTTCAGCTGATTATTTTCCTGATAAAGTAACCTAGACCTTCATTCCTGAAGAATCTAAGCTCTTTGTAGTCTTGCCTGTCTTAAATTTGTCTGGTTGTTTATTAGCTTTTATCTGTGGATACGGAAGTGCTGAATGGTGCTTATAGTAAATTGGATGGTGGTCTCCAAAAAAAGGTGTTTCCATGTCGTAATCCCTGTGAATTGACTTTATTTATGAAAAGAGTCTTTGCGTATATAATTAAGGATCTTGAGACAAGATCACCCTGGATTATTCACATGGACCCTAAGGCCAATGATAAGTGTCCTTATAAAGAGATGCACAGATAGGAGTTACATGAAGACAGAAGACAGATTGGACAGTTGCAAACAGAAGGTTGATGAGGCAAGGAATCGAGTCTTCCCTGAAGTCTCCACAAGAAGTGTGGTCATACCTTTACTTTGGTTTGGACATCTGGCCTCCAGAGGTTTTTAAGAATAAGTTTTAGTCACCAAGTTTGTGGTGATTTGTTCTAGCAGCTCTCTGAAACTAATATAGTGGGGTAACCTGGTTTTCATAGTCCTTCTTGTTTCTGTTGTGTAGTAGTCATTTTGCTTTCTTCTTTATAGAGCCCCACCCCCTTTGCCTCTTGATTCAGTGATGTGAGGAACCCCCAGTGGCCAGAGGAGTGTCTTGTCTTCCAGTCTAGTAAAATCATTGTTGTGTCCCTTTGGAAACTAGTACCTCTAAACTAGTATAGGTCAAAGTTGTATTAATTAGAAGCAAAAAAAGCTTTTGTGTCAGTAGGTAGTGATAGATAAACTCACCTACTTGCTTTACCTGTGTACCTACCCTCATATCATATTTTCTGATTGTTAAAGAACACTATAGATTTGTTTCTAGTTTGGGGCATATACTGCCTCATATAGGACAGTACCAGACCCATGGTGTTTTGTCACCTAGGCACAAAAACAGTATTCAGTAGGTCAGCAACTTTTAGGTGATGGTTGGCGGTAAAGAATCTGCCTGCCAATGCAGGTGATGCAGGTTCAATCCCTGGGTCAAGAAGATCCCCTGAAGAAGGAAATGACAACCCACTGCAGTGTTCTTTCTTGGATAATTCCATGGACAGAGGAGCCTGGTGGGCTACAGTCCATGGGGTCGCAAAAGAGTTGGAAACAACTTAGCTACTAAACAACAATAATATATGGTTAAGTTAATGAATTGTATGGATGTGAGCCCACTTCTTCATTTATTTTGTGTGAAGTTAGTTACATTTCAGAGGTAATGTGGAATAGGATATCATCTCAGTTAATGAGACAGATAGTAAGACCAGCAGTGCTGATACTGGAAGAAACGTATGTTAGGAAGGTACACCCAAATGCAGTTCTAGGTATTTGTAAATCATTTATCATCAAGGGACTTATATCCAGGTTATGTAAAGAATTCATACAACTCAAGAAGACAGATATTCCAGTTTGAAAATAAGCAAAATATTTTAATATACATTACCCTTAATATATGAGTGTTAACTAAGCATATGAAAAAGTACACATTCTCATTAGTCATTAGTAAAATGCAAATTAAAGCTACAATGAGATACCAATACATACTTTTTAGAATGACTAAGAGGTCAATATCAAGTTCTGACAAAAATGTAGAAAACTAGAGTTCTCGTAAACACTGTTGGTGGACATGTAGTGTTACATGCTAAATGACAACCAGCTTGACAGTTCCTTAGAGGTTAAACAGCCACTCAGCACAGGACTCAGCTTGGCATGCTGCATTCCACGGGCTTACAAAGAGTTGGACACAACTTAGCGACTGAACAGCTGCAGCAACATGTGCCTCAGCAACCTCATTCTTAGGTGTTTATTCCAGAGAAATGGGGCTTCCCTTGTGGCTCAGCTGGTAAGGAATTCGCCTGCAATGCCGGAGACCTGGGTTTGATCCCTGGGTTGGGAAGATCTCCTGGAGAGGGGAAAGGCCACCCACTCCAGTATTCTGGCCTGGAGAATTCCCTGGACTGTATAGTCCATAGGGTCGCAAAGAGTCGGACAAGACTGAGCAACTTTCACACAACACCAGAGAAATGATCATTAAAGTCTGCAAAACCCCGTACACAGATGCTCATAGCAGACTTGCTCGTAGTTGTCCAAAACTGGAAATAATTGATACACCCATCTGGTGCCAAATAGATAAATAAGATGTGTTACATCCATGCAATGGAATACAACTGAGCATAAAAAAGGTAGAGCTACTGATGCATGCAATATGATTAATCTTAGAAACATTATGCCAAGTGAAAGAAGATAAGACAAAAAATGACTATGTGATGTCTGATTCCATTTATGTGAAACTTCTTTTAAAAAAAGGTAAAGTAGATCAATGGTTTCCTCAGGCTGAGAGAAAGTGATTGATTGCAAATGGGTGCAGGGGAACTTTTTTGGTGTCAGAAAGGTTTTGTGTTTTTTTTTTTTTTTTTTAATATTTCTTTAGCTGTGCTGAGTCTCCGTTGTGGCATGTGGGATCTAGTTTTCCAACCAGGGTTTGAACTCAGGCCCCCTGCATTGGGACTGCAGAGTCTTAGCCAGTGGACCACCAGGGAAGTCCCCCAGAAATGTTTTAGTGGATTGTGATAGTGGTTTTAGAACTATAAACTTAACTGAAAACCATTGAACTTTATGTTAATAGTAGGTGGATTATTCTTTAATAAAACTTTTTTATTTTTTAAAGCTGTTTTTTAAAATGCAAGTCTGCAATTATTCCATAACTCTAGGGTTTTTTTGTCTTAAAACTCAGTAGATGGATTGATTGAATGTATATCAGGTGTTAACATGTCCTATTAAGATAACTTAGCATCAACTTACATCACATTCTTTGTGTGTGAGGAGTTGACCTCATCAGATAATGAAGTAGAATGGTTGTATTCTGCTACAAAACACATTCTAGACTTTAAGGGACTGATTTTTTTTCCCCTCTATAGCTCAACAGAGCATTCCAAGAGGAGGACTCTCCAGCTACTTTTTATTGCATCAGTATGCAATGGTTCAGAGAATGGGAGAGTTTTGTGAAGGGTAAAGATGGAGGTAAGTGTTTAACAGAAAGACAAAATTCTTTGCAAATTTTTTGTTTATTTGACAAATGTTTTTTGAGTATATGTATTTGAAATAAAACTACTGGAAAAGAGATTGGGGATCATACAGTCTAGTTTATATTTTGGTTATTTTTAACTTTTTAAAAACTTTCACAGAGTATAGCATATTCATGGAAAGTATAAGGGAACTAAATAAAAATTAGCCTACAATCTTAACATTAAAAAAATTTTTTTAATCCTTCCAACAATGAAATTGGTTAAATTATGGTGCATCTGTTACAATGGGATACTATATGAACTTTAAAAATTATTTGTATAACAGTGTTTAATAATTAAAAAATAAGATGTTCTTGATATATGAAAAAGGATACAATATAGTATGCATAGTTGGAACCTTTTTTAAAAAAAAAAAAAGGCAAACATGTACAAAGGCAAAAAGACCAGAAAGATGCAAAAACAGTTTGCCTGTGTTTCTGTAGTGGAATCACAGTATTTTTTTCTTTCTTGTGCCTTTTTTTCTTTTAAAAGTTTTTGATAATAAAGGTGCACTATACTTTTGTATTCAAGGGGAAAACAAAGGTTTTTTCCCTTAAAAAAGGATTCATTTTGGGAATTCCCTGACAGCCAGTGGCTAGGATACTGTGTTTTCACTACCAAGGGTCCAGGTCCAATCCCTGGTCGGGGAACTAAGATCCTGCAAACCTTGAGGCATAGCCAATATATGCATTTTAACATTTCATTGTATAATATTTTTAGTTTAATGACAGTCTGGAACTGAGAGTTGCATTCTTTTTAAATTACAAAGGAATTGTTGTTTTGTAGTATTAAAAGTGCATTTTAATCTGTAATCCTCAAATGGATAGTTAAGACATTATTTTTATTACATTTTGGATGGTAGTGAGAAAACTTCACTTGTCTGCCGTCCTGGTTCTGTTTTGGGGAACTAAGACCCAAAAAGAGAGAAGCTCAGAATAAGACAGTTAAGAACTGACTAGAATAATCTGACTAAAAATAATCTGATTAAACAGTTATATCCTTCATTAATTCAGGTACAGAAATATGTAGTTGTTTGGTGCACTTATACATTTTGATTATTTGTTTTGCCTTTTAACTTAGATCCTCCAGGTCCTATTGATAACACTAAAATTGCAGTCACCAAGTGTGGCAATGTGATACTCAAGCAGGGTAAGTTTGACTAATACTGTTAAGCCTTTACTTGTTAGTGATTTGTTACACTCTAGTTCAGGAAACTCTTAATACTCAGTGCTCTGTGGTGACCTAAATTGGAAGGAAATCCAAAAAAGAGGGGCTATATGTGTACATATAGCTGATTCACTTTGCCATACAGTAGAAACTAAGACAACATTGTAAAGCAACTGTACACCAAAAAAATTAATTAAAAAAAAAGAATATGTGGGAAAAAGAATCTCTAACTTTTTAAGGCAGACCATAAAGTTGCAACCTATAACCATATGGGCTGGTAGCCTGAAAATTCATGTTCTGAAACTTCTCAATTATTCCTAGAGTATACATACTGGGAGTACACTATGAAAGCTTTTTGCAGTACGAATATGAAAGTTTGTAAATAGTGTTTTTTCTCTATGTACTTGGTTTTTAGGAGCAGATTCTGGTCAGATTTCTGAGGAAACGTGGAATTTTCTACAGTCCATATACGGTGGAGGGCCCGAAGTTATCTTTCGGCCTCCAGTGGTTCATGTTGATCCTGATGCAGTACAAGCAGAAGAAAAAATTGAAGTAGAAACTCGGTCTTTGTAATTTTGAGGATATGTAGAGTTCTGATGAGAAATCATTTTCACTTCTAGCATATTCCCATGCAAAACATTCCTAAAAGCATGTTTATTTTCTTGATTTTTAATGTTTTAGCTTTTATTCCTTCTTACTGGGCATTATGGAAGAATGTGTTAAAATGTATAATATTCTACAGGTTGGCATATTTAATGCTAGATAACTTATAAAGTCTTTCGGTGTAATATTTTTGAAAGAGAAGGGATAATTGTGATCATTTGGTAATCAGGTTGTCTTTGATCTTTATACAACATGTAAATTCATAGTCCTTTGTAGCTTTGTAAAAACTTTTGCTTTGAAAACTTTTTCATTACCCTAAACCACCATAACTCTGACCAATCTTTTCAGTTCTCTAAAAACCTAATTTAATTGTATAGTTTTGACATGGCTTCATATTATGAAGAGCCTATTTTAAATTGAGAGTCACAGTCAGAAAGATGTTATTTCCTAAATCTCAGGAAACTGTTAGAGTGTCACTTCTTTTGCACTGCAACATATGAATTAGCATATTAATATTTACAAAATGTCTTTTTGAATGTATCAATGATGTAGTCTGAGTGGAATTTGTCTCAGCAAATATTAATAATTTATTGCCTCTTATACTGTAAAATGTTAAATTTAAGTTCCTATAACCCTGAATAGTGTTCATTAATAACAGTAAAATAAACCTAAGGGTTAGTTTTAGGGCACTTTTATTTTGAGAGCATGATGTGTAGAATGTGTTGATAAAGCTGAAGCCTCTGCGAAATGATTTTTTAAATGAAATGCATAAAGTCTTTTTGAATAACATAGTATGCACTGCTATTTGCTTGATTATGTGATGTCAAAAGTTTAATTATATTCCAAGTACACAAACAAATGGGATTACTTTGAGGATGTTGAATAGCATTCACAATGGCTTTGTTTTGGTCTGGGGCAGCTGCCACCAGCTAAAACAGTGTTATTAAAATCAGTTCAATAAAAATGATTTAAAAATGTATAAACTTGGATGTTGTATTTATTTAACAGATATTAAGGGCGAAGGATATAAAGTCTGTTGATACTAACGTCTTGTTATTTCTTAATCAGCAATATGCAAATTAAGTCATTTGGTATAGTATTTAAAGTTTTGGTATTTAATGATATTAAATAATCAGCCATTAGAATCTATTTGAATTTTTTAAAATATAGATAGCTTTTAGCTTTCTTCTTTCTCATGATTATGCTGTGATCCTCTTCAAGGATTGAATGATATTACTGATCTGTCTTGAATCACCAGAGATTAGTATAATGCCTGGCATTTCAGTTCAATTCAGTTCAGTTCAGTCGCTCAGTCGTGTCCGACTCTTTGCGACCCCATGAATTGCAGCATGCCAGGCCTCCCTGTCCATCACCAACTCCCGGAGTTGACTCAAACTCATGCCCATTGAGTCGGTGATGCCATCCAGCCATCTCATCCTCTGTCATCCCCTTCTCCTCCTGCCCCCAATCCCTCCCAGCATCAGGGTCTTTGCCAATGAGTCAACTCTTAGCATGAGGTGGCCAAAGTATTGGAGTTTCAGCTTCAGCATCAGTCCTTCCAGTGAACACCCAGGACTGATCTCCTTTAGGATGGACTGGTTGGATCTCCCTGCAGTCCAAGGGACTCTCAAGAGTCTTCTCCAACACCACAGTTCAAAAGCATCAATTTTTCGGCACTCAGCTTTCTTTATGGTCCAACTCTCACATCCATACATGACCACTGGAAAAACCATAGCCTTGACTAGACAGACCTTTAGGAGATAATCAAAAAGGTTTAGTGCTTTCCATTTATGATGTTTCAGACACTCTACTAAAGTGTATTACTTACACTTAATCCTGGTTAAAACCCTGTGACTTAGGTCAGGTGGCTTGCCCAAAGTCATATGTATAGCAGAGAAGTAGCAGATGTGGGACTACAGCTAAAGTCATTGTAACCTTATACCACTGTTTTCATTCACCATGGTGTATTATCGCCCACTGAATTATTTTAAAACAGATTATAGTGTTAGCATTAGATTCATTAATAGCATCTGTCATTGGGATATATAATATTGATAAGAATACTGGTCTTGGATTTCCTGGTGGTCCAGTGCTTAAGATTCCACACTTCTCTGCAGGGGACATGGATTGGATCCCTGGCTGGGGGAGTTCCGGGGTTCCACCTGCCACATGGGATGGCCAAGAAAAGAGTACTGGTGTTTAAGAACTTTTTTTTTTTTACATTACAATCTAAATGCATAACAAAATAGTACATAAAGGGTTAACCCCATAGACTCTGCTAAAAGTTGTCATATGTGTTAATAGATACCAAATTTAAAAATTTGGTTTCTCTGAGGATGATTTTCTTGGAACTACTTAAGCTAAAAAGTAGGAAAATTGCAGTTGAGAGATACTGAGGGCCTACAATATTTTAAGATTACTACATTGATTTATAACATGAAGGTGATTAGTTTTTGAACTCTGGAGTCAGTTTGCCTATATTCATATCCTCTTAATAGTAGATAAGTCATCTTTCTACTATGAATTGGTTTGGAACGGCACTTAAAGTTCCCAGATGTCCTGTTTTTTTCATCTCTTAAACAAGAATGTTTCAGGCTGAGTTTTCCAGGAAGCAGACACTGAGATGGAGCAAGAAGTGCAAATGCTTTCTTGAGGAGTAACATCAGTGAAAGAAAATAGGAAGCAGGATTGAGCAGGAGTTAGCAGACCATAATGCAGACCTGACAGTCTCTGCAGCACAGTGAAAGCCGAACTAAGGTTGTCCATTAGAGAAGTCTCACACTGGGCAGAAATGGCTTGACTCTTTTACTGTTACTAGGGGCTACCTGGAAAAGAGAATGTCCTCCAGTTGACCCTGGAGGGACTAGCAGCAAGATGCTGTCAGCCAAGCACTCTCCTCTCATCTGGTAATGAGTGCTTTCTTGAAGGGTGGTCTGAACATCTGTGTGTCTGCCATACTTGATAATAGGATTATGATAGTTAAAAAGGGTATTGTTATATAAACTTAACTTGGCACTTAGTATAATCCCTTACTCTTTCCTTTCCAAAATGTGTAACTTTTAAGGACACATCTATGTAAGAAGTCTGCCAAAAATATTTAATCTGAATCGGATCATGAGGGAGGAAATCAAGAAAATTGTTTTAAAAAGGCATATTATACAAAATAATTTTCCTCGAAGCTTCAAAAAATTAGTTATGAAAGACAAAAAAAGCCTGAAGATTAAGAAACCATTACAAAAAGTGTAATGTGTGGTCCTTGATTGGATCCTGGATTGGACAAAATTTATAAGCAGTGATATTAGGACAGTTGGGGAAAATTGGATTGGCCAGGGAGTATACATTAGATAATATTTCAGTATTAAATTTCTCTTGTGTGATAACTCCTATAGTAGTATGAAGGAATGAACTTGGTAGGAAATACATGGTTAAGTTTTTAGGATTGAAATCATGCTATATGAAATAAACATATGTGAGAGATAAAGCAGGAAGAGAGATCACAAATAGGTGGCAAGTGTTCATAGCTGAATCAGATGAAAACCACATTGACATATCCTGTCACACCTGTCACAATGGCTATCAGAACACAAATAACTGATGTTGGCTAGGATGTGAAGAAAAGGGAACTCTTGTATGTTTTGTGGGAATGTAAACTGGTATAGTCACTGTGGAAAACAGTATGGAGCTTTCTCTGAAAACTGAAAATATAGCTGCTGTTTATTGTTTTTCAGTCGCTAAGTCGTGTCTGACTCTGCAACTCCATGGCCTACATACAGCACGCCAGGCTTCCCTGTCCTTCACTGTCTCCTGCAGTTTGCTCAAATTCATGTCCATGAGAGCTACTGTATGACCCAGCAATTCCATTCCTGGATATATATCCATAAAATACAAAAACATACTCAAAAAAATACATGCACCCCAATGTTCATAAGAGCATTATTTATAATTGCCAAGACATGGAACCAACCTCAGTGTACATCCATAGATAAACAGATAAGTAATATTCTACACAATGGAATACTTGCTGGCCCATGCAAAGAATGAAATGTTGCCAATTGCAGCAACATTGGTGGACTTGGAGAGTATTAGGCTGAAGTGAAATAAGAGAAAGACAAATACTGTATGGTATCACTTTTGTGTGGATTCTAAAAACACAACTAACGAATATAACAAAAGAGAGGCATTCTCACCGATACAGAGAACAAACTAGGGGTTACCAGTGGGTTGAGGGAAGAGGGGCGGGGTGGTACAGGGTAAGGGATTAAGAGAAGCAGACTACTAAATATAAAATAAGCTATAAGAATATACTGTACAGCACAGGGATTATAGTCAGTATGTTACCATAACTACAAATGGAGTACAACATTTAAAAATTGTGAATCACTATATTGTATACCTGTAATATGTAGTAGTATACATCAACTATGCTTTGATTTTTTAAAAATTATTTATTTTACTTTACAACATTGTATTGGTTTTGCCATACATTGAGTTGAATCCGCCATGGGTGTACGTGTGTTCCCCATCCTGAACCCCCCTCCCACCTCCCTCCCCACCCCATCCCTCTGGGTCATCCCAGTGCACCAGCCCCAAGCACCCTGTCTCATGCATCGAACCTGGACTGGCAATTCATTTCACATATGATAATTTACATGTTTCAATGCCATTCTCCCATATCATTCTGCCCTCGCCCTCTCCCACGGAGTCTAAAAGACTGTTCAATACATCCCTGTCTCTTTTGCTGTCTTGCATACAGGGTTATCGTTACCATCTTTCTAAATTCCATATATATGTGTTAGTATACTGTATTGGTATTTTTCTTTCTGGATTACTTTATAATAGGCTCCAGTTTCATCGACCTCATTAGAACTGATTCAAATGTATTCTTTTAAATGGCTGAGTAATATTCCATTGTGTATATGTACCACAGCTTTCTTATCCATTCATCTGCTGATGGACATCTAGGTTGCTTC